TTTTGGAGATTGATTTTCAATCGGATTGTTTTCTCAACTATATTTTGGCAAGTTGCGATGATTGGAGTAATGAATTTGAAAGAAGCAAGCTTTCAGTCTATTGTTATTCTACCACTTCCATTTTTAACGATCTTATTCAAGGTGATTTGTCATCGTAAATTTGACCAAAAAATTCATTATTATACTCCCAGAGAAGCATTCTTAGAAAGTTGTAAAACGAATGAAAGTAAAGACCTCGATCATTTGCGTGAAAAAGTTTCCACAAGATTTGGTCATCCATCATTAACAGCAGAAATAATTACACCAATGGTTCATTCAAATGCTAAAGATGCATTAAGTAAGGTCTATCGTGGACGCGTGAATGAAACAAAAGAGAATCAAAGAGGAACTGTAAAATCAATGTCAATGTTTATAGACGGAAACAATGCATTAAAGATTCAAACAGTGGAAGAAAGTGAATTAGAAGTTGATGAAGATGCATATCTTGACGAGCAGAATCCAGGATATTACATAAATTATGATGAACCACAATTCGATTCATTACCTCAAAATCAACAACCATCAGCTTCAACAGGTTATGATACTTCATCTTCAACAGGTTATGAAGGTTATGAAGGTTATGATGCATACAATTCATCTTCAACAGGTTATGATGCATACCATTCATCTTCAACAGGTTATGATGCATACCATTCATCTTCAACAGGTTATGATACATACTATTCACCTCCACCATACGCCAAAGTAGATTATATGGAATCACAAAATAGATCAGAATAATTATAGATCAGAATAAAGATCAAAATAATTATAGATCAGAATAATTTATGACTCATGAAACATCATTTACAATTCCTAAAATGTTTCTTTTTTTTTGCAATGCAATGATTTCATACAAAGATTATCTTTTAGATTGATTCATTCATACATACATACATACATACATAACAAGATTATCTTTTTAGATTAATTCATTTATACATAACAAAGTTATTGAACTGACTTTTTTTTTTTGAAACAATCAATTCATATTGCATATTTAGTTAGAACTCCATTCGCATTGA